CTTTGGGTGAGGTAGCAGATGCATAAACCCATAGAAGTGGTTGCTCCTCTTGCCACAGAAGTCTGGAAGGCATATAGTCAGTGGTGAATACCAACAAATAAAGAATTTTTGAGGGATCAAAGTATCCTATGCCTTGCTGAGATATAGCTTCCTCTACTTTTACAAGTGAAGCTTCTGCCTCTGGTGTGAGACTCCTGGGAGAGCTGGGATCGGGGTCCCATTGTAATATGTTAAACAATGGTTTTAAATCTCCTGTTGTGAGTCGGAGATAAGGGCGTAGTCAATTAATATCGCCCAAGAGTTTTTGAAAATCATTTAAACAATTACTTTGGTTCTTTTAATATGAATCTTTTGTGTATGAATCAAGGTTGGGTCCAATTGAAATCCCCAAAATAAAAAGGGATAACAAGTTTGAATTTTCTCTGGAGGTATAATAAAACCTCTATCTTGTAAGGCTAAAACTAAATCTTGAGCTATTTGATTTACTACCTCAATCTTATCAGCAGCTATCAATACATCATCTGTATAATGAAGAACATAGGCAGTGGGATATAGCAATCTTATGGGTTTCACAGATTGAGCTACAAAACGCTGACACGGGGTGGGAGAGTTAGCCATGCCCTGGGGCAGGACTCGCCATTGAAACCGTGGATTTTGGCCAGCATGATTGATAATTGGAATAGAGAACGCAAATTGCTAACAATCAGCGGGATGCAAAGGGATAGAAAAAAAGCAATTTTTTATATCAATAACAATTTTATGAAATCCTTTGGGAATAGCAACTGGTGACAGCAAGCCAGGTTGTAAAGCCCCCATGGGCATCATGGTCTTATTAACCTCCCTTAGGTCCTGTAACAGTCTCCAGTCCCCATTTTTCTTTCTAATAACAAAAATGGGGGTGTTCCATGGGGATGTGGAGGGCTCAAGATGTCCCTGCTCTAATTGTTCTTGCACCAACTGCAGGGCAGCATGAACCTTTTCCTGAGGCATGGACCACTGGTCTATCCAGACTGGGTCATTAGTCCTCCAAGATATATCAGCCTGGAGTGCAGGAGGATCAGTGGTCTTTATGAATAAAGGTCTGCACCTAAGCCTAAGCGACCTGGGTGCTGGTTAACAGCAATAGGGTCTGTAGGTCCCTGTTTTTCCTTTCCTAATCCTTTACCCGGGAGGAATCCCATATTAAGCATCTGTTTGGTGACAACTTCATTAGGGCTAAGCATAATAACTCCCGTTTGTTTTAAGATGTCCCTTCCCCAGAGGTTAACTGGGGAAGGCTAAATGGTGCCTAAATTGCCCTCTTTATCCTTCCAGCTTAACAACTTGGAGCTTTGTAGAGTACTCTGGGTTTTTCCTATACCTTGTAAGTGGGTGGCGTTGGAGTCTACAGGCCATGCCTTAGGCCAATATCTAGATGATAGAACAGTGGCATCTGCACCCGTGTCTAAAAGGCCCTGGAATTGTTTATTATTTAACCATAATGTCATCATAGGTCGAGTATCAGAAAGCTGTTGCACCCAATATATGTCAGAAGAGCAGGGGCTAGAGGCACCACGCTCATTTCCTTGGCAGGGGAATTTTCCTATCATAGGCAATGGCAGGGCTTGTGCTATGCGATGTCCAACTCTAAGAGTTAAGGGGCCCTCAGTAGCAGTGGCAAGTAATTTAATTTCTCCTTCATAATCAGCATCAACTATAGAGCGAATAACAGAAAGCCCCTTTAGAGAGCATGAAGCTCGCCCTATAATGAGATAAAACATGCCAGGAGGAGGAGGGTCATATAGACTGGTCTCTATAATTGTGGTCCCATCCTCGGGGGGTTATAATCCGGGTGGAGTAGGGACACAAGTCAAATCCTGTGCTCCCTGGGGTAGCCCTGAAAAGGGGTTTTGACGTTGGGTCATCTCCCTTATATTGGGTGTCGTGGTTCGAGCTGGCTGGTACAAAGTTGGTGAGTAAGGGCCCCCGATCGGGGCCCCTTTCCCGTTTCCCTGAACCTCAGTGGCGAAGGCAGGGGTTAGGGGGTTGCCCAATATATCAGCCTTGGATTTGCACTCACTTGCCCAATGTATGCCCTGCCTGCATCGGGGGCAGGGTCCCGGGTGACCACCCCTTCTATTCCCAGGACCATTTTGATTATTCCCAACCATTTGTCGAGAGGGGCATTCCCTTGAAAAATGTCCCAATTGACCACAGATGAAACATGTCTTCCATTGGGGGCGAGAGTATCCCCTTTGTCCCTGAAATACTGAGCCAATGGCCAGGCTGATTGACTTTGATAGCTGATGGCCAAAATTATCTACCTCATTACACACTTTAATCATACCAGAAACATCAATGTCCCTCATTTTTCCCCTTAATGCATCTTTGCATGCAGTATTTGCGTTTTTGAAGGCTAGTTGTTTGACCAAAGTCCCTTTCATTTCCTCCGGCCCCAAGATCCTTTCTGCTGTTTCTTGGAGCCGACCCATGAACTGGGCATATGGCTCCTGAGGCCCGTGAATGATCTTAGTGAGTGGGGTGGTAGTGCCGCCAGTAGAGGGAACTGCCCTCCAGGCTGCCAGGGCTGCCTGCACTGTCTGGGAAAGTATTCCCAGTGACAATCCCCTTTGTCTCCCTTCATCTGCAATTTTACCCTGGCCAGCGATTTTATCAGCTGTCCAGGAGGCAGTCTGACTTAGTGGGTTTTTTCTATTGTTGTTAGCAAAGACCTCAGCCCTATCGAGAAACTCAGTCTTCCAGGTCAGATATTGTCCTCTAGTTAGCACTGACTGAACCACCTTGCCCCATTCTATGGGCAACATAAATCCTTCCCCTGATAATCCCTCCAATATGGAAAGAGTAAAAGGTGCATTTATTCCATAGTTTTTAACAGCTGAGTGAAGGTCTTTCATATGTTTAATTTTTAATTTTTTATATATGGGCTGAAAGGTTTCACCTTCACTTTGTTCAGGATCCTCCTCAGAATCAGAGGCCACCTGATTTTGATCATAATTCTCCTGGTCTTCTGTGGTATCAGGGTGGAGCTCAGCACCTTCTGCTTGTCTAGCTCATGACCTAGTCATAACTGGATAGGCCATTTTATGATTAAGTCTAGAGTTTTCCCGTTTGTCTAAAATCATGCCTTTTCCCATAGTTAATTGTTAAGTCCTGAATCTGAGAGGAAAGGTCTGAGAGTTCATGCTGTAATGTAAGCACTTGCTTGAGACCTCTTATTTGTGCCTTAAGGGCAGCTTTTGTATTAAACAATTCCTGAACCAAAGGAGTGGGTAAAGGCATGCTATTGGGAATGGTCAGAGCATATGGCGGCGGCTGCGGAGTCCTTTTTGGCTGACCAAGGAAGACGCGGGGAACCCTATCTCCTCTACCATACCTTCCTTCCTTATATCTAGCTACTTCTAACTTATTTTTGGACTCTGAATCCAAAGGCTTCTCCGGACTTCGAATCCAATGATCTGAGTCCTGCTGGCTGGGTTTGGTTTCATTTTTAAAAGTGGCCAGCAATTGATAAATGCCTTTAGGCGATTTTTGACTCTTATCTCCAGCAGGCACAGTTTCCTCTTGGGGAGCTGCTGTAGAATTAATAGGTCCTGAGGAGGGGTCCTCAGGAATACTAATAAAAACTGAAGGACACGGGGAAGTACACCCCTTCTCGATGTCTTTACGAGATGGTGGGTGGGTTGCCTCTAAGAATTCAGTAACTATTGACAGGAGACGGGAACTGTCTTCTCCATTTTCTGGACTATTTATGATGTCCCTGATTAGGGACCAGTAAGTAAAAACAACTTCTGGCACAGAATCACCTGCTTTTATCATTTTACTAAGATTTTTACCCACACTGTCCCAAATGTTAGGGTGTATTTCTGGGCTGGTTAAAACTAACCAGGGGCATATTTCATCTATAAAACAGAAGAATTTAACTAAATCTCTTTTTTTGACACTTACTCCTCTCACCCTGAGTGATTACTTAAATTCCTGTATGAATTTCTCTTCCTTTGAAAGTGATTGTCCCATGTCTTATTGGACGACAGTAATCCTGCACCTACCTTGTCCTGCAGATCTGTCCGAGTCCTACAGCCGCAGAACCTTTTCTTCTTGTTGTCATCCCGAGACTGCGCATCATCGTCCGATAGTTAGCCGTGCTCCGAGTCGCTGGTTCGGGCGCCACTGTAGACTGCCCTGGCAGGTCAGTTAGTCTAGGGGTTGTAACCCGCCTGGCAGGTCAGTTATTCCAGGGTCCCGGAGAGGCACTATCTGAAAAGACATGGGTGGGAGAGAGGAAGAAGGCCAAGCAAGGTGTGTCAAAGCCTCTGTTTATTAGCGTCATGGTTGCAGCTTATATAGCCCCTGGATGAGGAATTTGGGTTGGGATGGGGGGGCAGGAAGGAATCTTGCAGCGTAGGTTTGAGCCAGTCACAAGGTCGTCGGCCAGGAGGTTATGATCGGTCAGGTCACGATTCCTCGGTCAGGAAGCCAGGAGTTGACACACCTAGTTATCTAGATAGTTGGAATGTGGGGCGGGTTCCGCTAACTGATAGCTCTCAAGATAGTTGGGTGTGGGGTAGGCTCTGCCAACAAAACAGGTCTAAATACCATTGGGGTGTGGGGCTCTCCGCAAACTCCCCAGGACAATGGTCCCTGCAATATTTTTGGGGGGAAATGGCTCCTGACATGCCAGGGGCTGGTGTGTAACCCCCGAATGAAACAATTTTTTCCCCAGAACAAAAGCAAAGAGATTTTTCTGTGGTGTGTTTATTAATAATAAATGTCAAATTTTGATTATTTTAAGTTGAAAATTTAAAGTATTTCATGTTTATTTAAAGAGAAAGCTATTTTATGATAAAAATACTTTTATTCAACTTTATAAATTTTTAAAAATCTTTTTACTTTTTTTGAAGGCAGTTCTCCAACTTTATTTGAGATTCTGTAGGTTAGTTCTTATCCACATTGACTGTCTGTAGACTTTTGAATGTGGTAACAGACACATAAGTTACCAATGTTTAGAGCTTGTTTGGTGAGTCCTCATCCTCATTACATTTTCTGGACAAACGTACCCGGATACGGTATGGAACACTCCTTATTCCTTTGGCCCATAGGGCTTTGTTGAGCCTGGTATCAATCTGCACATCTGGAGTCCCCATCTCCTTCATGGCAAATTTCCAGATTTCTTTGAGAGCCCTAGGGGCATGCTTCTGGATGAACTTTGAGTGCCCTAGGGGCAAACCATGGATGTGCTTGTGAATGTTGATGGTGTTTTCTTGAGTCACCACCTTGTTGATGGCAGAATGGCACTTCTTCTTCTCGCCACCCTTCTTTGCAGGAGCCATTCTGCCTGGTCCAAGCTGGAAAGCATCTTTTTACTTTTTAAGCACAGTTTTCAGCTTGATTAAAGTGTAGTAAGTATGCATCATAGTCTACACTTTTGTACTAGACAGCTCTCCCAAATATCATGGGCACTGACAACTCCAGCCCTGCATTCTGCTGGGGAATGATAAGGACTTTATTTTAATAGAATTTGGAATGGTGTCAGAATTCAAGATTTCATTACTATAGCAACAGCAAACAATGGAAACACTAAATGTCAAACAAATTCAATGTTACCATAGTAACAATCAGTTGTTTTAACAAATACATTTACTGTTCCTTTCTGGTCATTTTATCTAATATGCTCATCAAATATGAATACTCAAAAAGAAGGAAAGTTCAAAATTGTTTTTTTTTTAAAGAAAAACTCTTCAAGAGACAAAAGCAATTTATTTCACTGTCTTTTATTTAATAAGAAACTCACGTGATTCAGAAAGACAACCCTGTAAGGGAAATAGAAAGTCTCAGCTTTGTTCCAATCAGTATTCTTCCATTCTTATTTACTGTCAGGAAGACTGAAGTGTGGCATTTAAACCACGTCTGCACTGCTGTTGAAAGACATTTCAAACCAATCTTCCTAAACAGCTGAATAGAGGCAATTCTGCCATATGAAAGAGGAAATATTCTGTCTCCAAGACTCAATCCTTTAGGCTCCTCCCTAGCAGTTCAACAGAACACCCGCTGTGACCTCCCCTCCCCCACCCCTCCCTTACTCCTTGTGGATCCCACACACCATCCCTTCCTGTCTTCTTTCCCCACCCTATTGCTGTATCCCAGCCCCAAACTCAGGCAGACTCCCTCCTGCTCACCCACACACAGGCCAAGACTGCCAGAAAGCTAGGTTTGCAGCTTGTAGACCTTCCCCACTGTCTTTCCTCTCCCAGTCCCTCAGGATCCTTTCTAGATCTTTAAGAGATTACTATATGTGGCCTCTTTTCCTCCCTGTCCACAACTCCTAGGGGTCCCATGGTCCTTCCACTCCTGACCTTCTTCCCCAAGCTCATCACTTTATCCCATCCTCCAAAACCAACAGAGCAGGCAAGTAAGAAAGACCACACACAGACGTCATACTCTCTGAAAAGCCAGAGAAAAAAACAGAAGCCAAGGAACAAAATACCGGCCCAACAAAAACAGAACTCTGCACCTAGACCTCTAATTACTCCAAACCCAGATGCCTAGATGCCAGTATAAGAACGCAACCAGTAGCAGCCAGGATAATATGTCTCCACTACAACCCAGCTATCCTACCACAGCAGGCCCTGAATATTCCAACATAAGCGAAAAATAAGAAAAGGGCCTTAAAACAAACTATAAGAAGATGATAGAGGTTCTTGAAAAGGAAATAAATGAATGAATCCTGTAAAGAAAGCCAAGAAAACACAAACAACAACAACAACAAAAAACTATTCAAGACCTGAAGATAGAAATGGAAGCAATAATGAAAACACAAACTGAAGGAGTTCTGGAAATGAAAAATTTAGGAATGCAAACAGGAACTGCAGAAAACAAGCTTCACCATAGAATACAAGAGATGGAAGAGATAATCTAAGGCATTGAAGATACAATGAAAAAACTGGATACAACATTCAAAGAAAATGTTAAAACTAAAAACATTCCCAATGAAAAACTTCCAGGAAATCTTGGACACCTCAAAAAGACCAAAGGTAAGAATAATAGGAAGAAAAAGGAGAAGATTCCTACCTCAAAGTCCCAGAAAAAATTTTCAACAAAATCATACAAGAAAATTTTCCTAACCTAAAGAAGGATATGCCTATTAAGGCACAATAAGCAAAGAGAACACCAAATAGATTGAACCAGAAAAGAGAGTTCCCTGGATGCATAATGAAACAAGAAACATACAGAACAATGAAAGAAAGATTATTAAAAACTACAAAGAAAAAAGATCAAGTAATATATTACATATATATGGGGAGGGATCAGGTGCCAGGGGAGATGGGATGGAAGTAGAGAATGAGGGGAGAGATGGCTGGAAGTGAGGGGCATTTGGGAGGCATTGTGGAAACCTAGTAGAATGGGAATGTTCTAGAATTTGTGAGAGTGATGTTATTGATGACCCCTAATAATAGGGGATCCAGAGTCTCAACTGGCCATCTCATTGCCAAGCAAGACTTCCAGTGATAGGAAGGGTTAAATTAAATTCAGGGGTCCCATGGAGATACCCAGACAATCCAGGCTGATGCTAGGACAGAGGTTTGCTTTCTGTAAACTGACAGCAAGGCCCCATTGCTGAGGACAACATCCACACAGTTCAGTGAACTTAGAAAGGTTAAGCAGTGCCTTCACGGAGACATCACCCCTACATTCCAGTGTCTTTGTTGCAGATAAGTACTCTGCAGGCTTCCAAAAGACAAAAATGGAAATGAACCAACAAAATCTTTGACCAATAATCTATCCTGCCTGTTCATCTGTGCTGGGGGAATAGTAGTATAGAATCTGTTGGAGTGACCAACCAATGTCTAATTTAACTTGAAGCCTACTCCATGAGAGGAAGTCCATGCTGACACTGCTCAGATAGCCAGGAACCAGAGACTGGAGAACCCAAAGGTATAGGGTAGAACCAAACAAGACTGATCTAGAAAAAATCAAGAAAATGATTTCTAATAATATTCTGCTATACTCTAGATTAGTACCTTCTGGTAAATTCTTCATCAGAAAGACCTCCTCAGGCAGTAGATGGAAGTTGATACAGAGACTCACAGCCAGACATTATGTAAAGAGCCTAAATTTGAGGTCTCTATTGGGTTGCTCTTTTAGGATCTCAGGGAATAATATGGGGGGTGGGCAGAAGGACTGTAAGAGTCTGAGGAGATGGAAGACACCAGAAGAACAGGCCACTGAATTAAATAATCAGGGCACATATGGGCTCACATAAACTAAGGGGGCAGGCACAGGGCCTACATGGGTCTGCATCAAGTCCCTTGCTTCTGTTATGGTTGTTAGCTTGGTGTTTTTGTGGGATTTCCACCTGTGGGAGCTGTGTAACTCTGACTTTTTCACCTGAATTTAGGACTCCTTTCGTCCTGTTAGGTTGCCTTGTCTAGATTTGGGGTGAGAGGTTTTTTTTGCCTCATCTTACTGTATTTTGTTTTGTTGTATTTGGTTGTCCCTTGGAGGCCTGCTCCTTTCTGATGGGAGAAGGAGGGGAGTGGATCTGAGGGATAGGGGAGATGGGAAGGAGCTAAAAGTAGTGGAGGAATGAGAACTGTAATCTGTTTGATTAGAGACGAATCCGTTTTCAAGAAAGAGAGGAACAAAGGGAGGAAGAAAGGAAGAAAAAAAAGGAAAACCTTTTTCCTTTAAAGTGCTAGTAGTATGTAACATGAAAGCATGCTTGTTGGGGTTTCTGTCCTGCCCAGTTCCCACAGCCAGTATGTCCCAAAGAAATTCACACAAAGAGTCTATATTAATGATAACCTGATTGGCCCATTAGCTCAGGCTTCTTATTAGCTCTTATCACTTATATTAACCCATTATTCTTATCTATGTTAGCCACATAGCTCAGTACCTTTTTCAGCGGGGCAGGTCACATCCTGCTTCTTCAGTGTCTGGACAGGATTGGGGAGCAATGGGCTTCTTCCTTCCCAGAATACTCCTGTTCTCATTGTTCCACCTCTACTTCCTGTCTGGTTGTCCCACCTATACTTTCTGCCTGGCTACTGGCCAATCAGCATTTATTTAAAACATAATTGACCGAATACAGAATGGTCCCACACCACTTTCTCTCTCTCTCTCTCTCTCTCTCTCTCTCTCTCTCTCTCTCTCTTTCTCTCTCTCTCTCTCTCTTTTTAACAAAGGAAAATATCCATAGTTGATATTTTAGGAATGTAGGTTGAGTATCCAGGCAACTTCCTGCTGTTTGGGGGTGCTGATAATCTTATGGAGACCTAAAGAAAATTTAGAATTATGATCAAGTCCTGACTGGAGTATCCTGTGAGTATTGATCATCTCAGGCAGCAGTCTTGAATCTGTTCTGGATGTAGAACTCAGACATGTGGGCCATCTGTTCCTACCGGAGATTTCTCAAGTGGTCTTTCTTGATCAAACCTGATTTTTCTTAACTCAGAATGAATCCACAGCCTCCCATTTCCTGTGGAAACAAAAGCAAAATCTCTTCTCCAAAGTAACATACCTTTTGACTTCAATTTTGAAGTCAAGGATTTTCAAAATACCTATCTTGAATTAATTTAGCAGCATTTAGAAACAAATATCTTTCAGCAGCTGTTGCTCCTTCCTCAGCATTCAAACAATTCAAAGAGAACATAATAATATACAGTATCCAGATTCTCTGTGTATTTTCCATCTTTATGTGGCTTTACTTTAACTTCTATTTCTTTTATTTTTACTTTTTTTAATATTTATTTATTTATTATGTATACAATATTCTGTCTGTGTGTATGTCTGCAGGCCAGCCAGAAGAGGGCACCAGACCTCATTACAGATGGTTGTGAGCCACCATGTTGTTGCTGGGAATTGAACTCAGGACCTTTGGAAGAGCAGGAAATGCTCTTAACCACTGAGCCATCTCTCCAGCACCCTTATTTTTACTTTTTGAGACAGGTTCTCTGTATACCTTTAGCTGTCTTGGAACTCCCTCTGTTTCAGGCTGTCTTTGAACTCACAGAGATCCTCCTGTCTCTGCCTCCTCAGTGCTGTGATTAAAGGTGTGTGCTATCACACCATGAACTCACAGAGATCTGCCTGCCTCTGCCTCCCAGGCATTGGGATTAAAGGTGTCTGCCACCACACCTTGAATTCACAGAGGTCTGTCTGCTTCCGAAGTGTTGGGATTAAAGTTGTGTACCACCACAACCAACTACTCATAGAGAGCAATGCTTGCCAGGCAACTGTGGGTGTCCTGCAGAAAAACAATTGAGCAAACAATAATGCAATTTTTTTTTGCTAATATTGTCTTCCTTTACCTTACAGCAGCCTTTCCTCTTGT